AAGCATACAATAGGATGTCCTGCAATATATGATATATAACAATTGTCATTTAATCAAGCGCATGGACGTGCGCTGAAATCTGATTGGCTTAAACTTTATATGGTTATAACTCCCTTGGTTTCCAACTAAACAGGATGGTATTTAGAATTAATATTGATAGACATAATGGACCCCTACGAGAATATATGGTCATCATGCACATGCTGCACGTGAAATGAGTAAAATTAAAAATTTGCTTAAACAAGTGTATATTTCTTTAATACTTTTGGATTAAATGGTTTGATATTAGGTCTATTTTAATATAAACACTGTATACACAGTGTAGAAAAGATAATATATACATTACCCACATGCATTCACATGAGCTCACATATAATGCTAAGATTTCTATATTTTTTATCACCTTCTGGGAAAACGTTGTTTTAGTCTAAAGTGCACAAAGTATGTCATATTTAATAGATCTTAAGGGAATATGGCACCAAAAGGGAGTTGGGGAGCGTTTGGGGAATATCTGTAACGGTCCCGGTTACAATTAGCCCTTGTTATCTTTATTACAGTCCCTGGAATTTCCTAACACTCTCTTCCTAAGGTGTAGGTGCAACAAAAGTATGACAGCAAAACATACAGTACCCGCATCGTTATTCTTTACAATTCTATCGTGTTCTATCGTGCGTGTATCCTATCGTATCGTGCGTGTATCCTATCGTATCGTGCGTGTATCCTATCGTATCGTGTTTTCCGTTTATCAGGTTTTGCGTTTTCTATCGTGTTTTCCGTTTATCGTGTTTTGCGTTTTTCGTGTAGATCGTTTATCAGGTTCTATCGTGTATCATGTTTTGCGTTTATCGTGTTTATTCGGAAGCCCTCGCTTTTTATCTTTACTATGTAAAGAAACTACTGAGCTATTCCGAGTTTCTTTTTCGTTTTGTTAATAGAAATAAGATTAATTCAACCGGAAAAGAGAAAAAGACTTATCCCTTTCTTTTACATGAATATAAGAAATATTAAAGCGTAGAAAGAAAAAATAATTAATCGCGTATTTCATGAATGAATAAATCAATTTATTAATAAATAATTAATTAAACAAATAAAATAATTATATCATGGTAAAGCAGCGAGTAATTGTCAAAATTTAAACAGTAACTCTATTTTTCGGAAATGAAATTATAAGTAGATCGATCAACTGGTCTATTTCTTTAAAAAATATAATTTATCGAATAGTATGATATATTTTGTCAAATTTAAATACTATTAATATGATTTTCTCAAATGAATCGGAGTTACCGGAGAAAGATTTTTGGTAAGCTACGATGTTCGCGTAGACAAAAAGCAAATAAATAAATAATAAGCATGATATTGAAATGTGTCTTTTTTTCATGCAATATTGTGTTTTTCCTTGTTTATCGTCTGATAACGTTAGAAATATGTTTACGCGTCTGACCTGCATTTATGCACAATTATTTAAAGTCTTGATGTTACCAATATAATATAACATAAGAAAATGATCCAGATTATTTTAACAACGATGGCCGTATACTTTCAAATTTTAAATTTATTTTTTAAAGCTAATTATAAATTGTTTGACATATGTCTAAATTAATAAAAGAAATCAAAATTATAAAGTATAATCTATGAAAATATTCTACCAAATTAATCACACCAAAACAGTTAGTATAAAATAAAAGATTTTCATTAATTTTATCTGGCATTAGATAACATAAAAATAACATACACATGTACAGGGGAAAACATGAAGTTTTTTAACAGCTTACCTTTTCGGCGTGGAAATAAACTCAAAATATAATCCATCGGGATGCCAAAAATCAAAATAATTCTAAGACCTTTCCTTACAAGAAAACTGACACGTATGTGTAGCTCTCTAATTGCGGTCAACCACCCCCTCCCCCTTCTCCCCTAACTGACACCTCTATGTGATCACCGTCAACATACCTGATTTCTCACCTGGGGTCAATTAGTAACCTCGAATACTACCTGGTTCTACTGAAAGGCAACTTCTTATTTTCGGAATTTTGTTCCTAACTTGTTTGAACAATTTTATCAAAGATTTCATTCAAAATACATTAAATAATTGTAGATTTATGGATTAAAAAATCATCTAGGATGTTAAATAAAAATTCAAATAAATCAATTTAATGAAATGAAGTCCTTAAACTTACTCCGTTGATTCTTTTTCATTTCGTACAATATTTCCATTATGTTTATGTAAATAAGTCTTTTCATAAACATGAAAAAATATACTGCACTTATGGTACGTGCACTTTCGGGTCATCGGGTTTTCTACGTAAAACGGACAAAATTAATTCTAGGAAACAATTTCATTGATCGTAGAAACGGATGAAATAGTTCTAACATTCTAAACTATGAAAATTACCTCGCAATATTTTTTTAACGGTATCTTACTATAAAAATAAAACAAAAGGAGTTGTCTGATCCGCCGTGATCATGCAAGACTAATAAATACACCGAATCAATTTAAAGTATTAATCGATTTTATTCATACATCTATAACTTTATTTAAGAATTCAATATTATATTTGGCAATTTGGTTAGATCTTGTTTATCTAATTTTAAATTGGTTGCGGACTTTCAAAATACCGCCCTTCGAATATGCCTAATATGAGATTACTGGGTCAGTGTAAAATGATTTTTAAGGTTTACTAATTCATTTTCATAATTAAACCTATTTTTCGTTATTATTAGAAACAGTACACACAGAGTTTAATAGCAATTATTTATAATTATTTAGTTGGAAAAGTCGCATTTCACTCTTTTAATATTTGTAAATTAATTTTTCTGTTTTGTATTGTTAAGAAGAAAGTATTTAACCATTCAATCTTCGTTAATAAATACGAGATTTAACCCTTTCACATTCGGGCATTTTTGGCTAAATTTAAGGGCTGAAATAAGATTTTCAAAAAATGCTTCCAACAGGAAAAAAACACGCCTGAAGATATATGTATTATATATGAAAAGATTTGTCTGTATGTCAAGATTTAAATCATGAAATAATATTTGAGTTGCCATGGCAACCTTTTGTCCAAATGGTCGGAAAAAGAGCACCAATTGCAAAATATTTGTAACGAAAATAATTGAAAACTTTAATTTAATT